GGCTCCCGCGCTCGCACAGACCCGGAGCCGGCGCCCCGCCTGCGCGCGCGGGCTCGCCGCGCTGCCTTCCGCACCTTTGCCGGGGAGCTCCCGAAGGGCCCGGACGAACCGTTTCATTCCCCCGAACGACAACAAAAGAATGCATTTGTCACAAGGGCCGTGGCGGTCGGTCGTGGACACGAGTTAGTTCAGGCCAAGCTCCGGACCGACGGGGGCCCCTTTCTTTCCGGGCTCCGGGACGCTGCGAACGGCCAGTCCCCCGCGCCGACTTTATCGCCGACTTTTGTTTTGTTGAAACTGCCAGGATGCGTCTGCTCCTAGATCGTGCGCTCCTCCGGCCCAGGCGCCGCGGTAACTAAGGCGTGTTTACGCGGATGCACAGCAGTTCCCAGAGCGGTCGGCCCGGGCGCCCTGCTTCTGGCCGAGCGCTGCGCCCCTCCCACAAGATAGGGGCTGGGTGTTTCTTTGGCTGTGGATCCACCGGGAAGATTCCAAGACTAGAGAAGAGCGAGCACGGGCTGCTGAACTTTTTCTTTTTAAGCAAGGTGAAATTCACATGACAGAAAACTATTTTAAAAAAACAATCCAGTGACATTTATTACGTTAATAATGTTCAGCAACTTCTGTCTCGTTCTGTAACGTTTCCATCACCCCAGAGGGAAATCTTTGCCCTACTTTATGCGATCATTCTCTCCACCCTTTCTTCCCCAAGTCCCTGCCAAACACTATTTTCTGTCTCTATAGATTTACCTTTAGATATTTCATGTAATTTGTTTGTTTGTTTTGGGTTTTTTTCCTGATACCGGGGATCGAACTCACGACCTTGCGATTGCCCGGCAGGCTATGTGCCGCTGAGCTAAATCCCCAACCCCTAGATATTTCATATAAATAGAATGTACAGTGTGTGGCCTTTTGTGTCTGGCGTCTAATGTATTTAAGGTTCATCCATGTTGCAACATGGGTAAGTACCTAATTGTTTTCCATGGCTGAATAAGATACCAGTGTATGTACACACTACATGCTTATCCCTTCATCCGTTGATGGATAAGTAGGTTATTTCCACCTCGTGATTACTGTGAAGAGTTCTAATCTGAACATGTCAATTTATTTGACGACTCGTTTCTAATGCTTTTGGGTACTTACTATTACTGGAATTGCTAGGTTAAACGGTTATATAGTCATATATTTAGCTTTTTGAGGAACCACCAAAAAGTTTCCCATAGCATCTAAATGAATCATTTTACATTCCCACCAGCAATATATAAAAATTCCCGATTCTCTACAACCATGCCAACACTTGCTATTTTCCATATTTTTATTTCCTGCATTTTAAAATGTGTGTGGTTTTTTTTTTTTTTTAAGACAGTGTCTTGCTATACAGCCTCCCAAATGCTGGATTACAGGTGTGTACCCCCAAATCCAGCTCCTTTGGGCTCCCCCACACTCCATACTGGGAACTCAACACAAGGGTGCTCTACCACTGAGTGACATCCGCAGGCACTTATTTTTTATTCTGAGATGCGGTCTCTCAGAGTTACCCTGGTGAGACTCAGACTTGCAATTTTCCTGCCTCAGCCTCCCTAATTGCTAAGATCCCTTGAACATTTGGGGGAGCATTGCCTATCCTTCTAGCTCCCAGCCCTTAAATGGGGTCTGATCCAGGTTTCTGACTACAAGACAAAGAAACACCCAAACTCTCTGGAGCAAAAGCAGCAATAAAAATAATGACACTAGACTAAGAGCTTTAAGGCTCCTATTCATAATTTTAACAGTAACTTGTCTGGTGTACAAGAGGCTTTGACATTCCCCAGATAACTAAGACTGTCTAAGACCATATGGAAGGATTTGCCAGCGGCAAATTTTATGATGCTCATCACCTTGGAAGCCAAGGCTGCACACAATATCCACTTAAGTTTCCACTTACCGCCACATTAGGAGTCTGTGAACATTTCCTTCTTCAGTGAAAATACAGTCAGGAAAACTGTTGGAGTGTGAAACTGGAAGGTCAATTTAGACTGGAAATTTGATTGATAGGTGTTACAGTGAGAGGAAAGCACTGGATTTAACAAACAGAATTAGGTCTTAATCCTTTTCCATACTTCTGATTTCTTCAGGAACTAAGTCAACCTCCTTGACTCCATTTTCTCATTTCTAAGGTGGGAGTAATGATGGCAAGGTAGATGAAGACACCAAGTCTTGAATTCAATAAATCATCCGTGTCATTGATTTAAAATACTGATGATTGACATGATCCACATGCAGAAATGTTGCTAAGTAGATATGGAAAATTCATGTTTAATTATGTTTCTCCTCAAATCAAGAGAGTAGACTATCTTCAAAATTCATGTGGCCAGCATAACTACTCAGACATGTGATGTGGTTGCTACTTTCCCAGGTCTTTCTTACTCTCTTAGGATGACAAATTACCTTGGTTAAACTTTTTAACTTGTCTGAATCTTATCTGTAACTAGAGTAACAGTACCTACTTAATAGGGTTGTGTGCAGATTCACTGACGTGCTGTATGTAAAAAGCTTAGCACCGGGGCTGGGGATTTAGCTCAGCGGCACAGCGCCTGCCTGGCAACCGCAAGGTCATGAGTTCAGTTCCCGGTACAGGAAAAAAAAATAAAAAATAAAAAAACAAAAAATAAAAAAAAAAAGCTTAGCACAGTATTGGTGAATACAAAATATACAATAAGCATGAGCTATTATACTATTATCAATAACAAGCTATTAAAACTTCTCTAAGGACCGGGGATACAGCTCAGCAGCACAAGCACCTGCCTGGCAAGCAAAAGGTCCTGAGTTCAATTCCCAGTACCAAAAAATATAAAATAAAAATAAAACTTCTCTAAGGAAAGAAAGTATTAACAGAAGGCAGGGCATACAGAATTTAGTAAAAGAAACCCATGGAGAAAGAACACTTCCACGTAACTTGTTCCTTCCCCAAGAACGTGAGGATCCCCTAGAACATCCATTCTCATGACGGAGATGAGTGGTGCATGGCATTCCAATACTGTGGCTTGTTGAGAATAGCTCTCCATATGGTCTCCCATTTGCTTGGATCCAGGTTGCGTTATTGAGATTTTTGCTGCTGGGACAAAATTCCTGACACATGGATTAAAGGAGAAAACGTTTATTTTGGCTCATGATTTCTGAGATTTCAGTCCATAATCAGCTGGCTCCAAGGCAGGAACATCATGGCTAAAGCATATGGTGGAGGAAAACTGCTCAGCTCATGGCAGCTAGGAAGCAGCGAGAACAAGGAAGAGCCAGAGAGAAGGGAAGAACCAAAGACAAGACTACACCCTTTCAAGTTATGCCCCTAGTGATCAACTTCCTCCAACCAGGCCCCCTTCAGACAGCACATTCAACTATGGACTCATTGAAAGATTAATCCATTGATTGGGTTAACACTCCTAGGATCTAATCACCTTCCAAAAGCCTAACCTCTGAACGCAAGTCTTTTGGATGACATTTTTTATCTAAACCGTATCACAATGCACCTCGCTTTTGACGCAGCATTTCCACAGAAGCTGTTTTAAAGGGAAACAAAATGCACTGAACATCCAACTTGAATACTCTAGAGTTCTGCAGAATTGCAATTCTCTTAATCCAATTCTCCCTATCAAACCTAATTAAGAATGGGTATTGGAGGGGCTGGGGGTTTAGCTCAGCAGCAAAGCGCCTGCCTGGCAAGCGCAAGGTCATGAGTTCGATTCCTGGTACCGGGAGATAAGACAAAAAAAAAAGAATGGGTATTGGAGCAAGGGTGGTGATGCACATCTGTAATCCCATTTTTAATACCAGGAGAATCACAAGTTTGAGCCCTACCTGGGCAACTTGGTGACTTAGCAAGAGCCTGACTCAACATGAGAAATTTTTAAAAGGGCAGGCAATGTAGCTCAGTGCAAAGGCCTTGGGTTTAATCCCTGATACTACCAAAAAAGCAATAACAAAACCAAATATATATACACATACACCTCATACACCCAAAAACTATCCTTAAAAAATTGACTTGTAAAAGAAAGTCTTATGATCACTAAACTTACAAAACGTTATCCTTACTAGTAAGAAGAGAAATGCAACCTGGGAAACTTAGCGACTGTCCTAGTTACTTTTCTTGTTGCTGAGACAAAATACCTGAAACCCAAAGTTAAAAAAGGAAAAGTTTGTTTAGCTCATAGTTGGTAAAGGTTTCAGTTCACAGTTGGCTGGCTCCAAGGCAGGTGGTATGGAAGAGTGGCACTGCAGAAGAGAAACAGTTTATGGCAGGCAGAAGACAGCAAAGCAAGAAAGTGACCAGCAACAAGCCTCTTTCTGTCCCTTATATTTTATCCACTTACACCCTTAATCCTAATGCCCTTAATGCTAGCATTGTACCATGAATCAATCCCAGAATCACACACTCTATAGATCCAGCCACCTCTTAAAAGCCCTACAGTGACTACATGGGGCTTTGCGGGTACATCGAGACAGAAGTCATAGCAATGACTTAGTAAGATCCTGGGTATGTGTGAAGGCGCTGGGTTCAACCCTTTGAATTAAAGGAAAAAAAAAAAAGATATGTATGGTGGTCCACCATGTGTGGTTGTCCATGCCTATAAACACAACACTTAGGGAGGCCACGGGAGAGGGATCTCAAGTTTGAGTCCTGTGGGCAATTTAGCAAAACCCTGTCTGCGGTCTCAAAAATTTTAAAAGGGGTTTGAGTCTGTTGAGGATGTAGGTCAGTGGTAGAGCACCCCTGGGTTCAATCCTCAATACTACAAAAGACAAAAAAGAAAAAGGATGTTGGAGACTGTTTTTATCTGGGTCCTCTTGCAAGAGACTCATGCAAACTTGCTGAAGAAGAAAGATGTTTATTGAATCTTAAGTGCATTGGAAGGTAGAAATTCGACTGGAGCAGGACTGACCTAAAAGCCATGGGAGCCAATTTCTACCTCTCTCATTGTAGATTAGTGTGTGTCTCTTTGTCTCCACCTCTCTGCTTTTCTTTGTTTCTCTCCTTTCTGTCTTGTTACACCTCTCTCTGCGTAGTTGCTTGATTCTCCTCTATCTTCCAGCATACTTATTCTCCTTAGTCACCTTGAACTTGGTTATAACGGATACCTCAGGCCAGGACTGGTGCAAAAACCTCTTCCTTGCCTCTTGGTTCCTACTTACCAAGACAAAAAATTTCTGTTCCAGCCCATCATTTCAAGCCAGGGCAAACTTCTACAAATTGCTTCGGATTAGTAGCCCCTTTCTGACCCAATCAGATGTTATGGGATAGAGGGATGCAGAAATAATCACCCAGCACAGCAAGGACTGTGTGTGGGTCTTCACCAGAAGTCCCCATGGGTGAGTGAATACACTGAAATTATTGTATCAATATGATAATACTTTGGAACCAAAACACTAGGATAAGTAATATAAAAATTATTGGGGATGTACTCT